CCTCCCCGGGGCCCGGCTGCTGCCTGCTTTGCCTTTCTTTTTAGCCCGCCGCGAGGCTTGCAACCCGCAGAGGTCCTGGAGCCCGGGAGACAGCCGCCCTCCCGAGCGAAGGGCTACGGACGAGTCCCTCGGGGCCCGGCGGGCCGTGTACATAGAGCAGCGCCTGCCTGCTCCTGCGCGGCGGTAAACGGAGTTTTCTTGGATTCTTGGTGTATAGAAGTTGGTCCCGTTTGTAAACTACGGCTTGAGTTCCTCCCTCCCGCCCGCCCGCCCCGAGAGCGAGGGACTGCTTTGCTTTTTCTTTCTTTCCCTCCCTCTTGGTTTTTTGTTTTTTGTTTTTTTAGTTCACCCGTTTTTAAAAAAAAGACAAAAAGAAAAAAAAAAAGTAACGTGGAAGAGAAAAAAAACCACCCTGGTTTCTTTTGTAATTGTGCTATTGAATATTGTGTTCTTTTAAAGAGGCAACTTGATTGTAAACTGCATTCAACTCTAGACCGGGGAAAAAACCAAACCGTGCCAAAGTCTCCATTCTGTTCCTCAGACACACGCACCACCACCACCACCACCAACGCTTGTGAATGTATTTTTTCTGTTAGCTGGGTTTACATGTGATGTTTTAGTGCTTTTGCCAGTTCGATTTGTTAGTTCCTGTTCGGAAGATTGTGAGGAAAATAAACGTCGTGCCGTTAGCTTTTTCCGTAATTACACCCTCCCTCCTGTAAATATCTGTTACCATATTTATCCATTTGTAATTAAATTATGGTATTAACTTGCTACAGAGGAAACAGTATTTATAAAGAATGTTTCTTAACTATAAATATGTACAATTGTGAGCATAAACTGTTTCAGATTTTTTATTTGAAGGTCTAAGTGGTTTCATCATTTTCTTGTGATATGTTTTGAGAGTAATGCATACAGAAATATAATAAAACGTGTTGAAACTGCAGCACTGCTTCTTTTTTATGTTAAAGGCTTTCTTGCATCGAGGACCGCGCCTCTAGGGAACTAAATTCCGTTTGGGCGGATTATGAAAACCGTTTTTTTTTTTGTTAAAAAAATAGCAGAAAACCCTTCAGGTGACATTTCGAAATCCTATATACCATCAGCTGGCCTTAACTTTCCTTTTAAATACGTAGAGTGAAAACAAAATAAGGCTACATCACATGCTGGTACAAGGACAACATTTCAGAAATGCCTCTGGTGACAAGAAGAGCTCTTTTCAAATGTATTATGAAGATGTCCTTCCTTAGAGAGAGATTTAAGTTTATATCTAGGAGACCTTGGCTTTTTCCTCTGGACAGCACCCACTACAATTTGTCCTCTGCTTTGCTTACAATTATCTTTATCTGTATGTTGACGTGAATGTGGGTTTTTTGATTTTTGCAGGTGGGAGTTTCCAGCCCCGTTTCTGGAAAGCGAGGGATTAGAAATATCCAGCTGGTGCTTTTAAGCTTGGCATTTTAAATGTAAAGTGCATTCTCTAAGACCCTTCAAATATTTTTTTGCACAGGCCCAGACGCCCTCCAAAAGGATAGGATATCAGCTTCATTTTCTCTCAGAGGTTTTTCTTTTTAAAGGCATGCAGAGATTCTTATTATTTTTATGACTGTTGTGATTTTAAAATGAGCTAAAGAAATAATCAAGAAGCAAGCACAAGGTTACAATATGACTCCTGGGTTCGCAAGGGGAGATAACAAGAAGAACGGCTGCTCTCGTTTAACTCTGCCTTGGCGCTAGGTTTTGGTGAGGAGTACCCCAGGGTGTGGACTTCCCGAGCCCCGGGGCTTAGCTAAGGAATCAGAAAGCCATTCGAAAAAAAAGTGTGTGTAGGGAGGGGGGGGCATGCCATCCTCTGCCCCTTTTTTCGTGGGTGGGCAGGATGCAGCTTTCTCTGCACATCGGAGCGATCGTGGCACGGGCTGGAAAGCCCCGAGTTGGCCCAAGCGCTAGGTGCCGAAAAGGGGCCCCTTCTCCAAGCGGCATCCGAGCGCCCTGCGGTGGCTGCGCTGCTTGCAGCAAAGCCATGCAGGGAGCGCGGGGGCGCTGCCAGCCCCGCAGCTCTCCCCCCCGAGCTCTTTGCCCCTTCGGCGGTTAAGTGCCAAGGGCAGTGGCTCACGATGCGCGGGGAAGCCGGGGGCTCCCTGCTCTGTGATTTTTTTTGCGGGTGGCGGTGGGGGGAGGGGGGGAGGTGCAAGGGCGGCTGCGGGGAGGGAGCGGGAAAGCCTCTCGGAGGGAACAAAGTTTTGCTGGAGGCCGGAGCTCCCGCAGCCTGCCCTCCGCGCCTCCGCTTGTGTGGGGGCCGAATGTCCTCCAGTGGCTCTTCAAACAGAAGGATGTCCCGTGCTAATACTCCGCGGAACCAGCGCAGCCCTTGGCATCTGCCGCCGCAGCCTGGGGGTGGCTGGGCCGGGGCTGCGGCTCCGAGCAAGTTCTTTGTCTTGCTGGAGTAGCGGGAACGTGGCCCCGGGGCGGGGACGAGCGAGCGAGCGCGGTCCGGCCTCGGCAGCAAACGCGCCGGGTGCGGCCCGGGGGCGGGGGG